GCGTGCAAAAAGCTTTCCACTAGTTGTCTAGTCTATGTGTTCTCTGGTTAGTGGTTTTACGCTAACAAGAAGTCCAGCTCAATGGAAGTTGCTGGCACGCAAAAATATATTTTTCTGCCACTAACATCTCTCAAAAACATGTCCATTGCGTGCCAGCACCAATATCCTACAAAAATAATAAATAAAAATTAAAATAAATAAATAAATAAATGCAAATTTGTTTCTTACCAAGCTCACACTCAGTTCACTGTGATAGGCTGGTAAATTTAGTGGAGGGAAGATAAAAAAAAAAACATCTATTATCGAAGAAAAGCATCGATGTTTCTCTTTTTGTTTCAAACATCGATGTATCGATGTTGCGCCCAGCACTACTGCCCAAGTCTAGTCTATTAAAGATTTCCTACGCATAGCTCTTTACAATTGTGTATTTTTTTTTTTTTTTGTAAGATTAAGGTTTAGATACAGTATAATAAAGTGACATATTGAAAAGTAGTTTTATTACATATGTATAATAATGTATATGAATGTCAATTATGCTTATTTGTTAGAAGCAATTTTGTTTATTGCAGTTGGGTTTTTGATTAAAACTGATTGAATTTACTACCGACGAGAAAATAAGCGTGTCTCTTGATTCCAGGACATTCAATAAAGTTATATATATTACATTCTATACAAAAATACCTTTGGTTCACAAGGAATATGGATATATTGGATATCGATGAAGCATTAAAAGATGATTCATACATGTATGTAGCAAGATTTGTATTTCCATCTGTGGTTAGTTTAAAAGATAAAAATACATGCGTTTGTTTTGTTTTTTTTTTTGTTTTTTTAATTTTAGTTTTCTGGCAGATAAAACACACGACGATATATCAAATATTCTTCACCAATGGAAAATTAACAATCAACAAAACTTGCAAAAACCTTTACAGCCGATTAATGGAGAAGGTTCGTACATACATACGTCCATCATAAATATATGTATATACATATGTGTGTATGTTCGAATGATTATTAAACATGGATCATGCTCTAAGAGCTCAGTGCGCTAGCTCTCAGCACATAATCATTTGTTATGACCAATGCCCAACTCAGCCTGATTGAACAATTGGGAAAACTCAGAAGTTTCTTCCACAGACACACTAACCTATTTTTGTATTTTTGTTGATGTACCAATTGAAACTAATTTATGTATTTACATATCTATTTCATATAAAGCATACAAGTATAATTCTAAAACATTCACGAGGCCCAAACGCAAACCACAGGAAAAAATGGAGACACAATTAGTAAGTTATAATTTATATTAAAAAATGGAACTTTGAATTGATGTCATCAAAGATAAGACTATCTTCACACCGTTTGTTTGTTAATAGGAGAACCGAAAGACCTGAAACTGCTTAAATGTATTATAGTAGGAATCCGTAGTGTCCATAGAGAGGGGGAAAAAAAAAATATCAATAGTCGAAGTGGCTGACTAGAAGATAAACTGAGCTCCGACCGATCTGCGCTTATAGAGAGAAACCTTTAGTCGACTCGACTGCTCAACTATGACATCCCTTGAACTCTTCGGGGAACTGATATTTAAATTATTATTCACGTCTTTCTACTTACACAACTCACTGACAGACGCACATAGTCGCACACGCATACTAGACGGCTGTATGAGTGCCAAAAACACGTACTCGAATTAACAATGGTCATATTGAAATGAATGGCACCGAGGCCAAATTGGAAATTGTATGAGTGAGTGACCACGCTCGTCGATGATTCAGAGGCGCAATATTCTATTGAACGAGAAAGAGTCGAATGAATATGAGTCTGGGTCTATGAGTTGCCTCGCCGAGTATATGAGTTGCGTCGCTGCTAGCAAAGAAAAAAAAATAAGGAAAGAACGAAGGCGAATGTAAGCTCGAGTGCCTCGACGCCTATATGCTTCAGGTGAATGTTTAGGTCTTATTTATTATCATTCATTAAACTGAAGGTAGTGGGTTATGAGTCATAGATTCCATGCACACTCCAACTCACTCAACTCTTACAGCCCTTTAATAAACACTCATGCGCTGCAATGTGTGCTTAGGTTTTTATACCTTGAAAATGGGAATTTAGGGTATGTATATTGGTTTTATTAAAAGTGTGTAACAAACAGAAGGAGGCGTGGGAAACCCCATAAAGTATATATATTCATGATGAGAGCGACAAGCTGAGTCGATTTAGCCCTGTCCGTCTGTCTGTCCGTGCGTCCGTGTGTATGAACGCGTCGATCTCAGAAGATAAAATTTTTCGCATCTGAAACAATAATTTGTTCAGTTTTCCGACCAGGACATGTGCTGCTTAACAAAATCTACCCAAGTCGCATTGTGGCAGTTAGATAAAGCCGGTTTTGACTTCAGTTTCATCCATTTTGGCCGGTTTCTAGTAGCCAAAATTTACTGAATGTAATAACCCGGTACTTTCAATGAAAACACTCTACTTTCAAAATAAAGAGAGAGAGAGTTTACGGGCTCTGCTTTGTAGGCGTCGATTGTTGCTTAGCATCTCGGCATCCCTCCTTTCCTCACGAGTTTAAACTTTAATCCGTAGGGGCGGTACCTGTGATTCCATGAGGAGTTACATTGTACATTAGTGTGAAAGCTTGAATTTCCTCCATAAGATTCCTCTTGTTTTGATGACCTATTTTCAACCGCTTGCCTTGTATATGCTCTCGACCTTACCGTTGCCTTGTGGCCAATAAGGAGGTGTTATTATTTGCTCTATGCCGCACGATTTACAATAGTTCTCGAGGTCAAGGCTTACATATTGTCGGCCATTATCGGTTCGTAACATTTTTGGGTAAGCCAGTCTACTAAAAATTTCCTTAATCACCCCAATTAGTGATTCAGATGTGATGGAGCGAAAGAAATTTAAACTTCATGTAATATTCTATTAAGACTAGGCTATATTCATTGTTGGGTAGCGGTTCTATCTGTAGCGACCGAAATCCATGGTCCATTCAGAAATTCGGTCCTCTTCATAGGTGGTGGATTTGTCACTTGGGATACCAAAATATAATAAAAACAATTCTTTACAAATTTTTCGGTATATTTGTCAATTTGGGGCCACCAGACTTTGGACCTCAGTCTTCGTTTCATGGCCGATTCACCCGGATGTCCTTCATGAACCACTTTCTGTCTCAATGTTGATGGAATAACGATTCGAACTCCTCTAAGCATGATTGTTCCGATTGTTGACAGTTTATGTCGAAACGGGTATAATTTATTCGACATTGCCGAGTCCCAATGGCCCTGTTCAAGGCACGCCATTGCGTCTACTATTTCCTCATCTAGTGTGCTGTTTTCAGCAATTTCAGGTATCGATATTGGTATTGGTGTAGCGTTTTCAATAATTCTCAATATGCTGTGCTCACCCTTGATGTAGCAACTGGATGACGTTTGCTCACACAAGCTATGTTTTCCTTTCCCGATTTGTAAATAACTTTAAATTTATACGCTTGAAGACGCAGAAGCCATCTTTTGATACGCGCTGGAGGCCTTGATGTTGGCTTAAAAATGCTTTCTAGTGACTTATGGTCTGTCACTAATTCGAACTATAGTCCTTATCAAATAGAAATAGTATTTCTCTACTGCACAGACCAAAGCTAAACTCTCTCTCTCAAAGCTAAACTCTCTCTCGCATCAGCGATTAAGCGCGTTTTATTTTTGGGGTTAAAATATGAGAGACTCGGGATCTTAGTTAATGCTGACTTTATCTTCTGAAACCCATTTTCTTCAGCTGGTCCCCAAATAAACTTTCGATCCCTCTTTACTAGCTGACATAAGGGTTCCGTTCTTTCCGCCAGGTCTGCGATGAAGTTGCCCACATAGGTTACTATTCCCAGGAAACTTCGAGTCTCTTCCTTATTTTTGGGTGCATGAAATAAATTCCATTTTGTTAAGATCTACTTCAATTGTCTGTTAAGATGTATCCTAAAAATTTAATTCTGCTTGTTTCCCAACTACATATTTCATTGTTTAAAGTCACATTATTATCTTTGAAAATGTGCTCTTCTTTGTTACTCCCGAATATTATAACATCGTTGATATAATTCAAGACGTTATTGCACGGTGCTAAAAGTTCTTCCATTCGTCGTTGAAAGATTTCCGGCGCCGCATTTATGCCAAACATTAGCCGGTTATACCTATATAGCCCCCGAAAGTCGTTATCTGCCTACTTGATTCATCCAACTCCAATTGTTGATACGCGTCTTTAAGATCCAGTCGTGAAAATATTGTCATTTCTTAATTTAGTCATAAATGATTCAAATGGCGGCAAACGGTAGCTCTCGCGAAGAATCGCCCGGTTGGCTTGCCTCATATCCAAACATATACGAATATCACAACTACCTTTAAACGTGATCACCATCGGAGAAATCCATGGGCTGTGACCCTTGACCGGTTCAATAATGTCTAGTTTGTGGGCTTTCTCTAATTTTGCATTGAGTTTCAGTTCCAACGCAACCGGAATCCGTCTCATTGGTTGTTTCACAAGATTGACGTAGGGGTCTATCGTTAGCTTTACCTTAATACCTTTCCACTTGGGAAATGGTAGCACCATCTCAATATTGTTAACCGGTAGTCCAACTCGAGGAACGTTCAACTTCGTTGCCGTCTCTCGTCCCAGCAGTGACTGCCTTCCTTTTTCAATTACGAAAAATGATGCGATCAACTCGGGACTCTGCTTGATCGATATCGGTGCCTCGAAAATACAAATAACGTTAAGGATTCGATCTGAGGCGTACCCCTTAAATTGGCGTTGTGAATTTCCGCGGACATTAAAAACTGTTGATTGTTTTAATTGAAGAGTTAACCAGTCGTTTTGCGAGATAAGGTTAAATCGAAATCCCGAATCAATCACTATGGAAACATCCGCACCTCCAATTCTGCATTGCATCATCTCTTCATACTTCTCGTCACTGTCTATCTTAAGACAATTTCGTTGGATTGTCTTATTCTCCTCTGTGTTCTCGTCTTCAATTTGATGCACATATTTGCGCTTGGGATTTCCTATTGCTTTATTATTCCACTGTGGATATGGGCGTTTAAGGTTTGTTCTACATTTGCGGGCAAAATGACCTACGCGAGAGCAACGACTGCCCTTAATTTGGCGTGCTGGGCACATTTGACTGTCTTCCTTGTGTCCCGGCCGTTCGCACCTTCCACAATCGCTCTGATGAATTTTCCTCGATTTTAAATTATGGTTTCTGACTTGGACTGCATAAGCTCAATGATTTTATCTTTGAAACAAATTTCTTCTATCTCGCCCTTCGAAGACCCGAAATTATATTTTTGAATTTGTTGACGCAAACGCAAAATGAACTTTCCGAATGTTTCACCTTCTTCATGTTCTGTTCTGTTATCGGAAAATCTAATTCTAGAAAAGTTTTGGAAGCAGAAGCATTTTTTAAATTACTGCGCGTATAATAGCGGAGTAAGGTGAAACCCTTCCAATTGTTTAAATGTTCTCTGTTTTCATTGTATTTTATCTTTTAGTTTTACAACATTCTTTACAACAGTTGGCGAACGATTCAATTACGTGAAATTGTTCGGTTAGACCAACCCACATCTTTGTATTCAAGGACTACAGCCATTTATTCGTTTGTCAGCATCTCTCCTTTTCCCATTTCAATATAAATTGATAAACTCCGACTAAAACCCAACTAAATGCTTAACACGTAAGAAAACTCTAGTCGAGAGTGCTCGACTAGATACTACCCTGAACCAAACTAATAAAATCGCATCTGCCTTGATTGATAATGGTTTTAATCGATAATAAAATATCGGGAATAGTTTTCGATTTTTATACCCCGAACCCATTGAAAATGGGAAATCAGGGTATAATTTTTTTTGTGAAAAAGTCTGTAACAGGCAGAAGGAATCATCGTAGACCCCATAAAGTCCGTCTGTCCGTCCGTCCATAAACATTTTGTAATCAACAGACAAACCATGCCCCCTTGGCCCCAAATAAAAAAAAAGAATATTTCAAATAGTTGAGACTTGTGGTTTGGAACACACATTTTGACCATAGATTACGCTCTAAAAATTTGATTAAGATTGTATGTCTACAAAAGAAGTTATTCAACAAATAAATTCCCATAATATTGCCCACACTGCGGCGAAGCCCAAGCGCAGTCGCTGCTTACTGCGCAGTTACCAAAGTGAGTGTGGATGCATATGTGCATACAATAAGTTCAGAATGATAAGAATATAAGCTTGGAGGTTTCAGGTATCTCCTAGTCGAGCAGTCTCGACTAGAGCCTTCTTACTTGCTTTTAAATGCCCGTATATATAGCGCGGATAACGAGCTTAATTCCAAAAATCGATAAGTCATCCCGTTGTTTTTTATCGATTGGAAACTTTATCGAAAATTAGTTATAAATTAATATATCCTACATCTTTCCAAACTAGAGTCTCCACAATTTAAATATGTATTCAAATGTTTCAATTTGTATTTTGGTTATATTTTGGATACCGGATCCAAACTCACCACAATCCCCATAGAAGGTCTTATGCAAGTATAGCTAATGGTGAATGATTTGTTATTTTATTAAAAATTCAAATTACATTTTGTTAAGTTCATCAACGTTAATAAATTAACAACATGTGTGGCCAAATAACTAACGCACGTACAGCAGCCACAACAGCTTTCCTATGCGTGTGCAATTAGACGATTGATAGAATTACATACTGATTTAAGTGCTAAAATTCTCAACAGTTAGCTTAGTTTGAATTTGTTAGATAGCGCTGCAGCAGTGAACCTAAGTATTTCAGTTGTTGCTATTACAGTTCGAAAGGTGAAGAGGCGTTGTAATTAGAAGCGCTGAGCTCGATCGTGAGGTCTCAGTTTCAAATCCAGAACGCGCCATTTGTGTTTAACTATTCCAAAATATTTCATCTTCCCAATTCCAACTACATAGTAAAATGCAATATGTATGTCATTTGTATTTGTAATTCATATGTTCATAAATATAAATATATTACATTTATGTAATTAAATGAGTTTTTTATGGCATTTATATTTTTAAATACATCCAAATTAAGCTTTGAAATTTAGTTTCGTTCAAGGTAGTATCTAGTCGAGCACTCTCGACTAGAGTTTTATAATTATAATGTAATAAAAGACACTTACTTGATCACGTTAATTTCCAAAAAATGCAGTACAAAATTAAATTTGCTTTTGATTTTATTTTATTATAGACTGTATAGCATCCTTAACTAAACCAGTCAAAATTTTTTATGCAGACACAAACAACAAATGTTACATCATCAAAAAATTCAGTATCTCCGATGCTAAGTTTGGAAATTGGAGGACTTGTGACAAATTTGCATAAATCGTTCCTGCAGGACACGTCGCCACCATCGTCTATATGTACATCAATAAACACCGGCTGTATGAATAGTTCGCTAATCAGCTCAGCTGACTTTACAAATCTCAACTTTTTACAATCGATTCATAGTTTGGAAATAAATAATACTAATCCAACAAGAGATCACATGTCCACAATGACAACGTTAATGAATGACGTAGGATATAACCTGAGCGACATGATTAGGGATCGCAAAGTCCTCGAATCACTTAGCCTGTCCGGTGATGGCACACTAATTAAGGATTCACATATTGGCCAAATTGATATTTCACTAATGCCGCTAAGCAAAACAGCATCCGGTTGCAGCACCATGCATAATAGCACTGACAGTGTATCTACGCCAAATGAAATGCAGTTACTGCAACAATCACACGACAATAACCAGGATGACGTTCAAGCTCAGTTGTGTGCAACGATAGTGTTGAGTGAGGACTTAATTGGTGATACTACATTTAATCTGGTGGATAGTCTGACTTCACGTACAACAGCAGAATCTCAGAGTGAAGGGGATGTAAACGTCACGTTTAAGCGGCCAATCGCGGTGCTAAACGAAACACAACTCCTTGCGGGGCGACAGGGGAACAGTACTGTTACCGAAGGGTGTCATACGCCCGAAGCAGCTCGTTGCGATACACCTGAAAATATTGAGACGAAATTGTCCATAATTCAAATGCAATCTACGCCAGTAACAAATTTAAACACCCGTTGTGCATACAACTGTAAAAACAATCAAAATAATAATACCAATAATAAGGCGCCTATCTATACACCGACCCAGACTAGCTGCAACGAAATAGTAAACATATCTCCCATTGTGAGCAGCATAACTCCCCATAAAAGCTACTGTTGCCGACAAGAGTTAAACCATACCTACGAACCACCAACGGAAACATTAAAGAATCTTCAACTTAGAGGGGCGCCTGAATGCTTTGATGGTCAAAAGTTTGTGCATGATACAATGCACTTGCTTGAACAAATTGAACAACCAGCGACAGATTTAACGTACGAGAAGTCAGAGGAATATATGCAGATGCAGTGCGTCTTAGATTTAGCTGAGGCAGAAGTAGAGCTGCTTGCTCATCAGGGTGATGAAGACCAGTTTGAGCACATGCTCGCTGAGCTTGGAAGAGTAAATAAAATTAATGCAGAGCAGATAAAAATGCAAAAATCATTGGATAGTATTAAGCGTCGCTTTCAGAAAGGTGAGGAGTATTCTTCAGAACCTGACCAGCAGCAACAGGTAGTGGACATGGCGCATGACACGCCGCCTTCGTCGAAGTCGCATTTAATGAATAGTCAAAATCAAAGTAACAGCCAATCATCTAGTAGCAGTGAACGTTTACTTAGCCGACGTAGTCGCCTCTATGACGACGTTAAGTTGAATGTAATGCACGACAGCGTAGCCACTTCTGCCAGTTGCAATTCAACATCTTTTATAGTTCATCGAAGGGAAGAGGAGCCATCAAACTCATCGGGGGCATGCATGCCACTACTTGACTCTGAGAAGCACGTAGTGGACATGAAAACTAAACAAAACCAGACAACCATAGAATCTGAATCACAGAACTATAAGATGGCTGAACGCCGCACTAGAGATCGCGAACGTTTTAAAACTATCAAAATAAGTAGGGAAGTGCGCGCTACTGATGAGAAGCTGGGATACATTGTTGTACCCTGTATTGACGATGAAGACTCCCAGTCTCAGCTATTGAATTCAGCTAAAATAGAAGATTCACAATCTCCTCAAAATCGACTTTCGCGTCTTGATAAAAATTCTCTTGAAAACAAAAATGGTTCAGAAAACAATACCATTTGCGGCAAAAATTACTTGACCTACAAAAAGCCAAGAGAAAAAAGCTTGTTGGTACAAAAACAGCAACCGCCGGCGGTCGCATGTGGACAGAACTCGCGATATCAGCCACGTTCGCTATCTCGACCACGCTACATTAGTGGCTTGCAAAAGCTAGGTACTGTGAGCAAAGCAACATCTGCTGGCGGTGGTCTGAATGCTGTATCATCTTCAATTTCAAGGACAACATCAAGAGAAACACCGCCAAAACCTGGGGATGGAGTAAAGAGTCCAATGGGCATCAAGTCAAAGTCATTTCATAACTTGTCCTCGAACATTTGCTGCTCTATGGGTGCTGGTGGTAAGGTATCGCCTTCACGACAGAGCTTAGGTGACGCCTTTAAAATACCCAGTAGCCAAATTAGCAAGCCGTCGAGTGTGTTTCAAGCAGCGCCACAGAACGAGGTATGTAGTGCAAAAATAAAGTAAAAAAAATTATTTCTAATGAGATGAAAAGTAACCATAAAATGTATTCAATAGGATAACACTTCCCTATTTAAAGTGCCCAAGATAGTTGGCGCCTTGCGTGCGCCGACCACTACCGGAGGCCCAAGCAAGCGAGTTGTGGGAAATGGACTGGCCCGCCCTTCTTCCGGCTTTTATAGTTTGACTATGAGAGGAGTTGGTGATTCTGAAACACCTGAGGTGAATTAGATCATGACTTCAATTAATCTTTAATGTAACTATATATATTACTTTACAGAGTCTTTCTTCAGCATCTTCGCGAGGAAGTCTGTGTGATAGGGATGGAAAACAAATTGATGCTTTTGAAACAGCAGCATTAAACTCAAGGCTGGTACAAATGACATCCTGTACAACAGGCATTCCGAAGCCGTCAGCTCTTCGGCAACCCACGCAAATAAAACGCAGTGGATTACCCCGACCTTCTAATGTTATAAGGCGTTGACCCAAACGAAATCCGAGATACCAAGACCCTTCCTCGAACAAGTATAGAACTTTGCTTATATAAAGAAATTCTTAATATTTACCAGCTTGGTTTCTCCTGTCATTTTTGGCGCCCTTACCCATTGTCGTACTGGTGTACGGATAATTGTTTTATAAATTTCGCATTCATTTAATATATTAACATTAAATTATATTTTTATTTAGCTAAAATTAAAAAAGAGCACCAAAATCGTAAACACACTATGCCTTAAACGAGAAACGGAGTAATCTCCATATGAATTATTTTACTGAAACGAAATAAAATTAATATTTTTGTAAAAGATGCAAACAATTTAGACATACATATATTGAAAGCTGAAAACAATGAAGACTATGAATGTAACACCCTTGTGGATAGACTACAATAAATGTGAAAATCTTAATGAGTAGGCATAGAACACATAGACCGAAAACGCAATGTAAAGGATTTACACACTTTTTTTTGTGCAGAAGTTCAGGCCACTTCGTATTTGCTCGTTCCCCTTACCTTTAGGTCGGCCTACGAAAATATGGGAACGCAAAATTATTTCATGAAAAGATCAATTACAAGCTCCATTACTTTATTAACAACTAGCCGCGTTTTCTACCGGGTGCATGAAATAATTTATTTTTGTAATGCAGAAAGTAATGAAGTGACGAAGTTTCATTCGGTTCTACATTACCCCAAACGTATACTTTTTAGACCCTGAACCCATTGAAAATGGGAAATCAGGGTATAATGTTTTTGTGGAAAAGTATGTAACAGGCAGAAGAATTCGTCGCAGACCCCATAAAGTATATATACGAGCTGAGTCTATATAGCCCTGTCCGTCCGTCCGTCTGTCCGGATGAACGCCGAGATCTCAGAAGATATAAGAGCTAGAGAGCTGAAATTTTGTGTGC